AAAAGAAAAGTATTACTAGTTAATTGTTACCTTGTAGGGACATTTGCATTCTTAAATATTTACTAGCAAAATACGAGTTGAAAGCTTAGTTTTTAAAATACTATATTATAGGGCAACTTTAAAATCTTACATAGGGAAGATAGGCTGTAAATGAAATAATACTCAATGACCTGTTTCCTCTAAGCCACATAAGGTGATTGAAATGCTTGCTAAGAGTCAGGCTGTCCTCAATATATGTGATGGTTTTGTTCCCCCCCACTCAGTTAAACAAACAAACAAACAATTTCCCAGCTTGCTTTTCATTTTTAGCACAGTAGTTTGTAGAACTCTTGTCTCAGCCGGTTCTGATTCTGTATGCTCTGTAATGGTTGAGTAGTTTTCCGTCCCATGAAGATGCTACATTTCAGGTCATCATTGCCTTATTGATACACTTTTAATTGTTTCCAGGATTTTGCTGTTGGAATAGTAGTCTTATACTCCTTTATGTCAAATTGTTAAAAATGGAGTTGATGGGTTAGAGGGTATGTACAGTTTAAATTTTGAGGTACACCACTAAATCTTTATTCAAAAAGACTCTACCTAGGAATAAATATAACAGATGTTTGTGAGCTACTTAATTCTGACTGAACAATATAAAATCTAAATAAATAAGATGATACAATATTCTTTCTAGATTGGAAGAGTCACTATTGTAAATTAACCAATTTCCCCCAAGTTGACATATAAATGTAATAGAATTCCAAATATAACAATTCCAGGGTGGTATTGTAGAACACTGGATATACTGATAAGAAAATATTGGAAAAATCAGCCTGATCTATTATAAAATAACAGTAATTTAAAGTAGTGTATCATCAGTTCAGTGGTAGACAGTGGCACCACAGAGTCTAGAAACAGTCGTGCATTTGTGAGCTTTCTAAAAATGTTAACATTTTTTTCAAGATTTCATTCACTGAGAACTAGAAGAGCTCAGGAGATCTCACCCCTAAATATTACCCTTTGGTATATAAAAAGTATTTTGAACTCCATGTATAAAGTTACAATAATTATGATCATCAGTATTTAATGTATGTCAGGTATTGATCTAAGAGCTTAATTAATTTAATTCTCACGGTAACAATGAAGTGAGCTCTACTGTTATCTCCACTTTATGGATGAGGAAATTGAAACACAGATAAAGTAACTTGCCTAAGTTCACTTAGCCAGCAAGAGAGAAAAGAATGAATATATGATAAAAACTACGTAGATTATTGGGGGAAAGAATGGGTTATTCAGTAAATAGTTCTAGGACTGTTGGTTGTTCTTTTGTGTGTGTTTTATGCTTTGTAGGCCCTGTCCCCTACAAATTCAAATGAATTCTAAATGCTTGAAAAAGAGCAAATAGAGCAAGTAAAGTAAATCATAAAAATCTAGGGAAAAATGTAAGATGCTTTAAAAAAATATATATATATAGATATATACATACACACACACACACACACACACACACACACACACGTTGGTTGGAAAAGACTCCTCTGTCATGATACCAAAGAAGTAATAAAGGAGGAAAAAAGGTTTTTGTATGTGTGATATGCATCTGGATTTGCAATCAAAATTTTGTTTTCTAATGTACCTGATACACAGTTATCAAAAATTGAAAACAAATTTGGAGAGTGGTTCTTTGTCTCACCAAAGAGTTGCTTAATTATGTAAGAAAATGATGAGGAACATTTTCATTGGTTGAATCATAGAAAAGTGGCTGAGGGAAGCTGCAGTGACTTCTGAATTTTCAAGCTGTTTCCCGTTAGAGGAAGCAGTACAATTCAGCTTATGGTTGTAGTGTTATACACATTTATTATATTTTGTTGCATACGTAAATGTTTTTGTTAAGTCTCAGGAATAGTGTGTTATTTTCCTGTAGCTATCTCTCTAATTATAAGTTAGTATGAAAATGATTACACTGTGTTTACCATTGACATACACGATTCTCAGGGGTAGATTTATTGTATCAAGTCAGGCACAGTGAACTTTTCTTAATAGCTGAATTTTTTTTGAGAGTTAAAAACTGCAGAAAGTAGCCAAGTTAATGAATAAAATTGATTACTTAATCAGTTATTACAGATAGGAATTATTTTCTGAGTGACTGTTACAAGGTAGTTTTAATTTTGGTAGTTAGTGATCAGTGGGGGTTTTTTGCATCATACAGCTTTAAAAGTAAAAAAAAGCTCACTGTGCTTCATGAGAAATCACTTAATTTCGTCTGCCAACTTTTAATGATCTTGTGTAGTAATTTTTCATGTTGGTGTGTTTGGCATTTTACATGCTTACGGCTAAAGCTGTAATTTATATAGCTGACTGAAAATCCTAACTATTTTACAACTCATTTGTTTTAGGACAGCTTATAAGATAGTTACTTTCAAATTACACAGAGCTTTTTCTCCCAGGTTTTATCTTGGCCCAAATTACATTGCGGTATAGGAAAGACCGTCTTTTATTTCTTTCTTTAACACTGGTGTTTTCATGTTAGGAATTCGTGAAGTTTTATTTCATATGAAAGGAAGACTTTGGCTGCCCATTGGTGGTGTCCTGTGAGTTGTGAGCCATCCACACCAACAGATAATGAACTCAAACCAGTGGGGGGAGGGGGCGGTTCTTGAAGGTTGTAATGTGGTATATATAGTTCTCCTTCCTGTTCAGTTTGAAGGAAAATAATTACAGTAGTTCCACTGCCCCGTCCCCCCCATTGTGGAAACAGTGTCTGACTCTGACTTGTACTTGCTCTTTAATCTTTTTTCTATTTAGAGACCAAACATAAACTCAGTACAGTTCTAAGAATAAAACTGCTAAGGAAAATGTCTTTAATAGTTTAGGTGAAAATTTTGGAAATGTAACCCTATTTTCTTGACATAGCCCTGATATTATTACAGTTCATTGTCCTGAAAGATGAGAGCTGAACTGCACACTGTCTTGTGGTTGTGGTGCCGCCACCCCCGACTCCCCACTCAGTTTAGGCCTCGAACTCAGCAGCGTTGTACTTGAGCGCTGTAGTAGCTGAAGACAGACTAGTGAAGTGAGCAAAGTTATTGTTTATTAGCAAAGTTTTGATCATATGTTGAATAAAATGAAAGGATAGTTTATGTTTGAAATGATATTCCTGAAATATTTGACTGGAATGTTCTTTGAACTTCTGAATTTTGAAAACCGATCTTGAAAACCCTTATTAGTTTAAAAATGTTTAATCTTGCAGAAAGAGCTAGATGTTAGGATAGTTTACAAATTTTAAAGTTAATCCTGTAAAGTTGGTGTATTACAGTGTTTCCTGTATTAGCCAGCAATAAAAATAGGCCTTTTGCTATCTCTGACCTAGTGTGCTTCTTTATTTATTTATTGCAGAGAAGATTGGCGTCAGATTGCTCCTTTATGGGTTAGCCGGGTGCTTTATTTCCATTCTTCTTGAACAGATAAATTCTTAATAATGGGGAGTATGTGGAGAGTACATAGGTGGGGAGTTTTATG